ACACACACACACACACACACACACACACACACACACACACTGAGTGTGCTTTACTGTCACACTGTGTGCTTTACTCAATACACACCCACACACTCTGTGTGCTTTGCTTACTACCCCGACACAGAGCACTTTGCTCACTGCACACAGTGTGCTTTGCACACACACACACACACACACACAGTGTGCTTTGTTCACTACACAGTGCTGTGCTCTCACACACAGAGTGTGGTTTCCTCTCACAGCGTCTTTGCTCAAAGACACACGTGCACACACTCTGTGTTGTTTACCACACACACAGTGTGTGCTTTGCTCGCTACACACAGGCAACCGGCATCGGTTTATAGCAGGCAGATCCTGCCTGACTAACCGGGTCTCTTTTTATGACCCGGTCACAAAGCGCCTGGCTGCAGGGCAGGCAGTAGATATTCTCTACCCAGACTTTCAGAAGCTCTTTGACACGGTGTCGCACCCGGTTCTTACGAGCAAGCCGAGCAGCTGCCACACGAATCTTTTCGTGGTTGGGCGGGTGAAAAACTGGCTCATGGGATGCCCCGAGAGTGGCGGTGGATGGGGCGGTTTCTCCCCGGAGGGATGCGGGCAGTGGTGTCCCCCGAGGCTCGGTCCTCAGAGCAGTGCCGTGTAATATATTTGTGGCGATTTGGACACAGGGGTCGAAAGCACCTTGTCCAAATGTGTGGATGACACAAAACGATGGGGCACAGTAAATGCGCCAGAGGGCAGGGAGCGAATTCGGGCAGATTCGGACAGGCCAGGGAAGTGGGCCATTCAGAACAGGATGCAATTCAACAAAGAGAAATGCAAGGTGCTGCCTCCGGGGAGGACTCTCCAACCCTCCCGTATAGCCAGGGGGGACAGGTCTGAGCACCACGACAATAGAAAGGGACATTGAAGTCCTGGCTGATGCAGACGTGCGGACGAGTTGCCGGTGCGACAAGGCGACAGGTGAGGCTCACCACACACTGTCTTGCGTCAGCAGGTGCCCCGTGAGCAGGTCTAGGGAAGTGATCGTTCCCCTGTACGTGGCATCGGCGAGGCGGCAGATGGGGTACACGTCCAGGTTTGGGTGTCGCGCTTTGAGAGGGATGTGGATCACCTTGAGAGGGTCCTGAGGAGGGCCGCTCGTATGGCGGAGGGCTGGCAGGTAAGACCCTACAAAAACAGATGAAGGGACCCAAATGTCTTCAGCCTCCGCCAGAGAAGGCTGAGAGGCGATCTTGTGGCCGTCTACAAACTCATCGGGGGGGGGTAGCAGGGAATAGGGGCTCCCCTCGGGGTTACCAGGAATCACGGCCACCATAGTTTCATAGTTTCCAGGGTCGGAAAGGACCTGAGCAGATCATCTAGTCCGACCCCCTGCCATGGCAGGAAAGAGTACTGGGGTCAAATGACCCCAGCAAGGTGTTCATCTAACCTCCTCTTAAAAACCCCCAGGGTAGGAGCCTGCACCACCTCTCTTGGAAGTTGGTCCCAGACCCTAGCCGCCCTGACTGTGAAGTAACGCCTACTGATATCTAGCCTGAATCTACCCTCTGCCAGCTTGTGACAGTTATTTCTAGTCACTCCTGGTAGTGCTCGGCAGAATAGTATATTTAAGTAGTTAGATTTAACAAACATCATGCAACTGGTTTATCAAGGCAATAAATAAATAAATTATACGGCTGCAGGTTACTCAGCGCCATCATTAATTTGGAAATTTGATGAATATATATGCCTTCACCCCTTCTGCTCAGTAATTCTGTATGACCATAATGTTATGGTCACCACAAACAGTCTATTCTTGAAAAAGGGGGTTATCACTTCACACTCGGTACTGAGTGTTTCTGTAAGGAGAATC